TAGTTTTTCTAAAAGTGGAGTAACTGTAGTACAGTTAAAGTGTGATAAAAAAAAGTCACAAATAATTTATCACTTATTTTTAAACGAAACTTAGCTGAGTTTGTTCGTTGAATAGTCCTCTTTAAATGGTTTTAACAATGACAAACTCTTATTTTCTATAAAGTAAATTTTATATAGTATACTATAGAGCAATGTTTAGTTACATAAATTAAATATTTTTCATGTTATCGCTTCCTATTCAACAAAAAACGCGACTCACTTAAAAAACACAAATCTTAAATTTCCTACTTTTCTGCTGGAATTTGGGCAATTGTTTGAATTAACTTTTTTGTAGAGCTTCATGTCTACTATCAAATTTTTAAATATTTCCCTCTACTTACTGGACACTCTATGTATCGCTATTGTTAGTGTAAAAGTATACATGTGACAATTGATTTTTGTTTAAAACGAGCATAAAAACTAATTAATTTAATTACACAAAATTAATTTTTGTGGAGTCACTGAAAATTGCTGTTTAATTTGTCTTTCTAAAGATTGAATCCGTGGGAACTGGAGAAAATAGATAATTACCTACATTCTAGGAATATTAAGAAAGCAATATAGCGTAAAAAGTGAGATTGGAATATTTTCATTTTAAGGATTTTTTTCGTCTCTGAATCACTGTCTGATGCGAAGATGAAAACATAGTTAATTAATTAAAAACGATATAAAATATAAACGTAAGCAGAAAACAAAAATAGTTCAAATATTTTATTTTTACAATTAGCTTTAAGAACTCCCCAACTATTATCCAATAGAAGCTGGTGTTCCTCAAGGCAGCGTCTTGGGCCCAGTTCTCTATATCAACTTCACTGCTGATATCCCTACAAATCCCAATACTTCTCTGACAACATTTGCTAATGATACCGCTATCCTTTCCTCCCACTCAGAACCTGAAATGGCATCCCTAAACCTCCAAAGTCATCTTTCCCGAATGGAGCAGTGGTGCAAGGATTGGCCTATTAAAGTAAATGCATCCAAGTGTAAACATATTACTTTCACACTCCGACGCAAATCCTGTCCGCCTATATTTTTTAACTCTATACTTTTCCCTTCTCAGACACAGACCGGTACTTGGGCTTCCTCCTAGACAAGATACTGACATGGAACCCTCATACCAGACTTAAAATACAAGAACTTAACCGACGATTTGGCCAGCTATGTATACTACTGAACAGAAACTCACATCTTTCAATAGAGTATAAACTACTGATATATAAGATCATACTGAAACTCATCTGCACCTATGGACTCGAACTGTGGGAGACAGCTAGATTTTCGAACATCAAGCGCATCCAATCCTTTCAATCCAAAGTCCTTCGAACAATAGTCAATGCTCCATACTACGTCACAAATAAAATCCTATATCATGATCTCAACATCCCATTTGTCTTTGACCTAATTCCCTTCAGATTCGTAAACGTCCATCAAAAACTTATCCATCATCCTAATCCCTTAGCACAATCCATCTGCAGCTCCAACTATCCATATAATCCCCCACGAAGTTTAAAACGGCAATGGCCGAGATGCCTTTTGTAAATACTCTATTGGAGTTCTGGCAGTGGCCAGCTTCTCCGCTTAAATCCTTTAGTGTTCTCACTCAGCCTCCACTGACTTTCAAACAGTGATGCGACTGGAAGAGAAGCGCTGGGATCTCTTCGAGCCCTACTCTGGCTGTCACATGAGAGTGGTAAAGCATGGTTCAGGGTTCCCTAGGCTGAATGTTAATATTGTATACAGGAATGAGTGTGACTAGTAGTTTTTAAAATTTGTATTATCCTTTTAATGTATTTTTCCTTTTTCTTTTTACAATTATTCTATATTTTTGTTATTATTTTATTGTATATATTTTTTATTTAGATGTTTTCTTCTTATTTTTTTTTCTCAATTTCTACATAACAGTGTGAATGTACACATAGAGCCTTAATGCCAAATGCCCTTGATTGTGGAAGATTGTATTCCAATAAAAAGATTATTATATGCAATTAGCTTTACCGTCAATATCAGTAAATAATGCGGTATTTTGCAAATCATTTTTATATAGGTAATTGACAAATAACGAATGCAATTGAGGCTTTCCAAGTTAGGGTGTGTTCTGTGGCATGCCATCCTCTCCAGTTCGGACCAAAGCCGACAATCTAGTGTGTTGAGATCAGGGCTTTATTAAAAAGATTATTTTCGGGTTGTTTAGTAAGTACAAACAATAGTGGTAGAATTCTACCAACTAATCAACAATCGAGTCAATAAAAATAATATTAAACTCATACCCTGGCGAAACAGCCACACGGCAGCCGAAAACCGTATATTATCTTCCCGTTCTCCTGGCATTTCCTTGTTTGTGCATTCTTTCCAAAAATCGGGACTTAATTAAAACGCCGAGAGAAGCGAGACAAGTCGTAAAAAATCGGGACTGTCCGGCAAAAGTGGGACCTCTGGTAATGTTATGCTTATAAAATAGTTTTTGGCACTTTTTCAAATTTACCTCTCGATTCGTGAAAAGCTCCCAAAATTTTGTCAGATTTTACAACATAAATTACCAGGAAAGTGATCTGAAACTAGTCCAAACAGGTTTTTGCCTGCTGCGGTCATGTAATTTTGGGCAGTTTTTTTTCGATTTTTGTAATTCGCCAGTAGCCAAACACTGTTAGCTGTTTGACTAAATGAATTTTATCAGGGATGGCATACCTACTGTTAAATATGGTCAAGTCTTCTGCTGTTTATCAGGTTGTTAAATCTGTGGACGCTCTTGGGCTACACTCCTCAGTGGCGGCCTTAGGGCGAGGCAGCCGGTCTTAAAACAATTAATTTTATACCTATTAATGAAGCAACTGTATTAGAGAAAGATTGAATGAAAAATTCAAATATTACATAGTATAAAAAACTTCTTAAGAAATAAATTTAATTTTTATAGAGGAGAGGTGACGTCATTGTGGTGCTGAATGTCTAAGGCATATCCTTAGCATTTTTTATTGGCATATTATTGCATATTCTTGAGAAATAAAATAATATATCTAATATTAAAAAAAGCTATGAAAATTTATAAAAAATATTGATTAACATCTAATATAAATACATTTTGAGGGAGGCTATAAAGTCTGTTTTGGAGAGAGTTATGCACCATCATTTTTGAGTGAGATGGGTACCCCTGCCAAGTGATTAAGCATATTAAAGTGTTTCACAATTCTAACGATCTTCAAAGTAATCTAATACTTCTCATAATAAATTAATTCTAGTTATTGGTACTTCTAGTGATCCTGGTACTGGTAAATCACTCAAGCAAGAGTGTTTGTTAATAGGTCTTTCTTATATATTCTAAGAAAATGAATGGAGCCTTATTATTCCTCTATATTGAACTTTCTGCTTTTCTTACTGAAAGAAAAGAAAAGACCATCCAATGGAGAAAGCCATATATTTCTAGAATACTGATGGTCTAAGTATTGGTGAAACATATCAATGGAAATTTTCTATTCCTGTGAGCATAAGTTGCAGGTTTCATCAGTAACTATTCAACAAATATTTAGGTGTATTTTAAGTATGGAGTGGCCTGAAAGAAGTTCTTTTTAATTGACTGTTTGGCTTGCCTAAAGCCAAACATTCCCTCCATTCCTTCCCTGCTCCTCTACAAGTACATGTTTGAAGATGTCTAATTGACAGCTTGTTTTGACCAGCTTTTAAATGGTCCAACTACAATTTAAAAAAAGTTAACAACACTTTTTTGATATGAATAACATTTTAAAAAAATTAATCTCATTTCTTTACAGGTTAGTAATTTAATTTTGAAAAATGGTTTAATAAAAAAAAATAACTCTAATTTTATATAGCATAAATCAAAATACAGTTAAAACATTGTCACAGACAAAATAATTGAAAATGAAATTGACATAGGTGTAAGTGATGTTATGACTTAAAAAAAAGAAGAAAAACTTAATATTAAATAAGAATCAAAAGCACCAATATCATTTCAACCAAAAATGTCAGTTACAACCTTTTCAAACCATGGTAATGAAATGAAAGTTCTTGAAATCTTTAATGAAGGTGAGTGATCCTAAGAGGGGAGGTATATTGGGGCATTATCAAGTAGTTAGGTAATACACAACTTTGACTGAACATTATTGGAAAGGTAAAATTTTATTTCAATAAAATCCATTCAAATTTCAATAGTCAAAAAATACTACAAAATATAAATTATGACATACCAATATTGTCCGTCCATTGCTCTTTTTGAAGGCTAAACAGCAGATAACAGTAATACGACTAGATAGGCAACAATTTTAGTTTGAAATTCATTTTTAATTTAATAATCATTTGAAAAATACAAATTCAGGACATCAAAACTACTAACCAGAGACGTGTCATGTTTAAAATGTTTCAGGATACAGTTTCAGAATTAAGAATAAACATTTAGTTCTAGAAATCTTTATTTTATTACCTTATTATTTTCTAAACAATAAATTAGATATAATATAAATAACAAGATAATCCTCTAAAGTAAAATAACTTGTGGAACAGTCATGAAGCTAAATTAAACTTAAAATTATATGAAAGTAACATGGTAAATTTCTTTTTTTGCTTAATGTGGATATAATACTCTTCAAATTATAATACATAATATTAATCATGTTTTGTCCATACATTGACATTCCCACTGGAGAATATGGATGAATTCTTTCTTCAGTATTGAGATGAATTGGCAAATAAGGCATTTCTACAGATACTCTTAACTTGATTAGTCAATAATATGGTTCCAAAAACATACACTATTTCTTAAAGAAATACGACTCAGTCAAAGTCAGGAATAAATAAATGTAAAATCAATCATATAACAAATCTTTTAACACAGTTCATTCCATGAAATTAAAATGAATATGAATGAATTTTTATAGAATATAACATTTATATTATATTTTATAAAATGTTCAAATATATTACGTAAATAAGCTTTATACATTTATATATATATATATATATATATATAACTAATACTTCATGGCACTACAACCCGGTGTGGTCCTGGCACTCCTCAATAAACCTTCGCCAGGTTAATCTATCCTGGACAGCCTCTCATCAGTTACATGTGTCCAGCAGCTCCCGGGCATCCTCTGCTACTCCCTCCTCCCATCTTAATCGAGGGCTGCCTCTTCATTTGGTCCCATATCATCTCCCATCCAGCAACTTCCTTGGAATCTCTTCTAATGGCATCACTGTAGCATGGCCAGCATAACATAGTCTGCCCCATCTAGTATATGTCATTAAATCCATTCTTCCCTAGAGCCCATAAACCTCTGTATTGGTTCTCCTTCTCCTATTGCTATCCTCCTTCACAGTTTCAAATATTCAGCAACCAATTTTCCTTTCAAAAATAAGAACGCTGGCAAATTTCTAAAGAAATTCTGTGGATACTTACAACTCTTAAAATAAATATATAAATATAAAGCTTATTTACGTAATACATCTGAACAGTTTTAAAAATATATAATTGAATATTCAATAGAATGTGATTACTCCATAGTAAAATAAATACTTGAGAACAACTAATTTTAGTTATATTTGACAAAATAATAAGTATGGATTGTAGGATCCTTGGGGAAAATTTACAGCTAACATTGTGCATTAATGATTCTATAAAGAATCCTGAAGAGGGAGGAACACTTCAAAATATCAGTTGATTAATTTTTTTTGCGAATAAATACATTATTTTTTAAGAAGTTTTTTTCACTAATATATAAAATATATAGTAAAATAACTACAATTATTAGTAACCAAGGATATTATTAGGCTTCAGCATAAGATTCAGATATAGGAAATGAAGTACCTATAGGAGTTTCATGGAAGGTTAAAACATGAAAATTTGAATAGTCACAATTTTTTTTTACTATGCATAATTGTAATTGAAAAAATAAATATATTATGACAAAATCTGAAAACGAGGTAGAGCAAAAATGAATACATAAAAGAGATACAAATTCTTTTGTTAATAGTCTAGGCCTAATTAGAAGAGATTCAAACAAAAAATAAATCAACAATTAAATTCAGATTATCAGTTATTGGAAAATAACTATACTTAGTATGATATGATTAATATTAAACATATCACAGAAGGATGCAAAGATAAACATTTATCAATATAACATAGTTATATTTGAAAAATATTCCCTGCTTTTATTAAAATATTAATTTACATAATAGTGAAATAAGAAACAAAACAAAAAAGCAATGGTTCAGTAAAATATAAAATCAATTAACAAGAATATAAGAAGTTGTCAACAAGGGTGCATAGATGAAATTAAACACATATAAAAGTTTTATTTTATTGTGTGCTGACTTTTTAAGTTTTAGGCTTTCATCAGGGCAGCTTGTCTGAAATGTTCACATCAAGTGGACTGCTTGTTTAGAACATCCCAGGTGAACTTCCTTGGATGAAGGTCTAAAACTTAAGTCGAAACAGCAGAATAAGACTTCTTATACGTGGGAAATTTCATATATGACAGTACACCCCAACCAACTTCTCTTATAATTTAATCTATGGTCAACAATATCACTTAACAAGTATATATATGTTTTTTTTACATAATAATAGATAATTCGAATTTCCATTATAAGAGACAGATTCAAAAAAGTAGGACAAGATTTACTGATGCAATATGTACATCATTATGCTCAGAATTACAGAAAAAAAATAGTTTAATCCAATGAAGATGCATCTTCTTCAGGAATATTGTTCAACCCATCCTGTTTCCAATAATAGTAGGGTGGCCCTTCAGTAAAACAATATTTGTTAGTTAGCGGAGCATCTCCCTCAGTCCAATACAGAATGTAGAAGTTGCACATTTCATTAATATTCTTTGCACTTAAACAAAAAAAAAAAGATACAAATACACACATATACTTCATATGAGTATCATAAAATTACATAAATATAAATATATATAGGTTGTCCCATCAATAAAGAGAAATATTTAAAGAAGTAGTAACCGCCAAGGACTAAAAAAATGTTTCCATAAACCATGGTCCAATTCCACACAGAAAAGCAGAAAATGTTTAGTGTTTTTTTAATGGTCGCATACTTTTGTAAATTAGGAAGCGATACCTAAAACAATATTTAATCTAGGTAACTAGTAGCAAGTGCCAGGGCCGCAACTGCAGTATAACTTTCATGTCGCTATGTGATTGTTATATTGTTATGTGATTAATAGTTAAAACTCTTTGGTAATATTTTATCAACAGTGACTTTATAATCAGTTGAACATTTATAAGTTCATGGATATACAGGTGAGTTACAGTTTATTAACAATGAACATGAGATAAATTGGTACTCATTTGGGTAGCCCAAGTGGCTGTTAATTCCCTTTCAGTTCTTATCTTACATACGTTAAGTTCACTGCCAAGGTTTGTATACTAGCTCTCTCTCTCTCGTCTGCTGGTCTCAGTTCGAAACCAAAGACTAATAGATTTTTTTTTCTCCCAGGGACAGTTTTGTTTTAATTATTTCTTATCTTGTTTATTTATTCTCAGAAATGGTTGGTTTATTTCTGTTTCTAAGTTTGTAAATAGCTTATTATTTTTTTTTAGAATTTATAAATATTTATTTTTGTAATTCTAATTTAGGTATATATATGTTTTTTTTTCCTTGTTCTTATCATGGAAAATATGAATTTGGAGAAGAACTTTTCATGTGAAGATTCAGGTGACGAGACACCATTTTTTGAAGTTAGCGAAACTTATTTGCAATATCTGAAAAGACGCTCTAAATACAAAATCTAAATTGTCAGCCGAACAAAATAAATCCAAACAAACAGTCGAGCAAAATAAATCACCACCCAAAACTAGATGCAAAACAAATACCACAAAACCAGCGCCAACTGCACCAACTACCATAGCCAGCAATAATTCTGTTCCTGTTAGTAATTTACTAATAAAGTCTTCGGAATCTCAAGGTTCTACTGATCCTCACCTGCTATCTACTTTTGTTTCCAAAATTGATAATTTCGTATCATTTGGTCAAGAAATTGCCAATCTGATAGGACAGACAAATTTTTGCTGTTTTTCCACTAATCAACTATTTTTCATTTAAAAACTATGATTTTCACTGTTATCAGTTGAGACAAGAAAAGGCATACTGAGTGGTCTTTAGCCTACACTCAGCCACTCCTATATCCGTTATCAAGTCTGGCTTGGAAGAAATACATCACAACGTTATGCATATATCATGCTGGCACAGTTTTTAATAGAATTGCTAAAGCAAACAACTCTTTTCTTTAGCAGACGATATCAATATAATTGTGTACTCTCAACTGACAGTCATCCAATTCATTCTGAATATGGAGGCTGGCTGCGGTGAGGAAACTTTATTTTCAATGAGGAAAAAACGATAAAGAGGATAGTGTAAAGTTTGATTTCAGACTCTACATTTTTGAACAGATTTTGGTATTTCCATATTTAATTTCAAATATAACCAGTGATAACCAAAGAGATGTAGAAATAAGCAGTAGATTCTGGTTGGAAACCATTGCAGCTAAGGATTAAGTCTAATAATAGAATACATTAAAACTAAGGTAGTACAAAGCTGTTAAACTACACACTGCTTTTTAACTTTTAGAATAGTACTAAGCTTTACACACATTAATGCATGAATTTTTTTTTTTTTTTTATTTAGAAAAAATACATTTTGCCTCAATTAAGGGCATTGAGTATTTAGGATGAATGAAATACAAACATACCATATATACAGTAAAAGAAAAACAAGACTATAACAAAATAAAATAAAACTTGGAGTAAAAGAATAAATTGATCATGATACAACATTAAATAAAAAAAATAAATAAATAAATAAAAACACATTCATACTTATTTACAATATTTACAGTCAGCCGAGGGAGCTCCGAGTCGGGCCATTTCCCCCACGTGTGGAGAACAAGGCAAGACTCCAAGAGATCCCAGCGCTTCTCTCTCAGCCGCATCACTGGGATGGGAATCCAGTGGAGACTAAGAGAGGGCACTAAAGCCACATACGCTCATGACTTGAGTGGAGAAGCTGGCCATCACCAGGACTCCAATGACATCTTTACAAAAGATCTCGAGGCCACTGCCGCTTCAACCTTCGTCGAGGATTGTAGGGATGACTGGAACTGGATAAAGATTGTGCTAAGGGATTAGGATGATGGATTAGGTTGTGATGAAAATTTGAAAATTGGGATGGAATAACGTCAAGGACATAAGGGATGTTAAGGTCATGATGTAAGGTTTTGTTTGTAACATAAGAAGCATTGACTATTATACGGAGGACTTTAGACTGGAAGGATTGGATGCGTTTGATGTTCGAAAATTTAGTTGTTTCCCACAGTTCAAGTCCGTAGGTCCAGATGGGTTTCAGTATGGTCTTGTATATTAATAGTTTGTTCTCAATTGAGAGGTTAGATTTTCTGTTAAGCAGTCTGTATAACTGGCCAAGTCGTCGGTTGAGCTCTTGTCTTTTAAGTCTGGTATGTTGGTTCCATGTTAGTCTTTTGTCTAAAAGGAATCCAAGATATCAAACTGTGTCTGAGATGGGAAGAGGTACTGAGTGAGTTGAAAAGGATATGTGGACAGGATCTTCGTCGGAGGGTAAAGGTGACATGCTTGCATTTGGATTCATTGATCTTGAAATGCATGAATTAATTATTCATATTTCTCATATCAGAACACATAATTTTAATAAAGTGATAAAGAATAGCTAATTTATAAACTTATAATTAACTGATAAAATATAATTACCCAACACTTGTAACAAAACTACGATCACTTTTCATGGTGCACCTAGCAGCCTAAAAAAAACAGAAACAAAGCTATAGATGGTGAAGGAATAATTAGGATCACTACGCTAAACATCAGAGCCTAATTCTTTATTTATTAATTACAATAATATACCTGATTATAATATATTTAATAATTAATGAGAGCATTTCCTAGACTTATGGAATGCTGGTTTGAATATAGAGTTATTAATGGAAGAGAAGCACACTATTTAGTACAGGTTTAGGTAGTGGGATTTTAGATAAGGAATCAATTTTATAAGAGGGATATAGAATCATCTAATAAGATATTAGAGATCATATTTTAGGGGTATTGGTTCAAATCTCATTATTAAACTAAAATAAGTATAAAGCTAGAAAAGAGACATAAGGTGATTATATTATAAAAGGAAAAATCCACACAACAAAATCATGAGTCTCCAACATACAAGTGAATAGTTAGCTTGCCTGAAGGATTTGTTGTGTGGATTTTTTCTTTTACTCATTAATAAACATACATTTTACAACCAAAGACAATGAGGAAGAAGTTAAATACAAATTTTATGATAAACTACACCTTATGAAAATTGCATAAGGAGATGTGAACACAATAGTGGGAAGAAAAGAAGTATATTATACAATAGTTGGTAAAGAAAGTTTGCACAAATTAAGCAACAGAATAAATGTTTCCATAAAAAAAAATAAAAAACATCTGAACATAAGGATATAATGTGGTTCAGATCATGAAATAGGAAACTAGTAATCATAATTTTTTTAATAAAATTTATTATAAACATAAGAGAGTGAATATGTGAAGATTCAACATACCAATAAATCTCCTTTCTTAATTGTAATATTTGAATCAACAACAGGATAAAACATTTCAGGTAAAAGAGGATCTTTTTTTCCAATAAGTGTCCATTCATTTTTCCCGGTAATGTTACGAACTCTATATCCTGACACAACTTTACCTAAAAAATAATAAAATTTTCTAAATCAAATATTACAATACATTATGTTACTACTAATATTGATAGTAACAAAAAATACTTCAGTATGAGGAACGAAATAACAATAATAATCATGTCCCTTGATAAGAATTTGATTACAGCTAAAAATAGGAACCTGATTTATTAATTAATAATAAAAGATTATGGAAGATGCGAGACATAGTTGTCTGTTAAAATTATAAGATTTTTGGTGATAGTTTAAATGATGTTGAATTGTACTGTTATTCAAAGCTGTCGTTATTGCAAAAATAATAATCAATCCTGTTTAGATGAATAGTGAAAGGCTACTGTTAGACATTTTTAATATAAAATGATAAACTTCATACAAAATTGATGGTACCTAACTTCTTTAAAACATACAGCTATTTACTTAAGGGATAATGCTAACTGTTCACTATCCAACCACAGGATGTACTCTTAAAATAAATAAAAACCTAACAATCCAATTTCAAATACAAATATTTGTTTGTTCAGAAAACCAACAAAAACTATACAACTATAGATATAGAGATTATATCATATTTCATGACAACAGAGGTAACAAATCCAACCAACCGAGTGAGTGAGTGTGTGTTCTAAAGGCAAAAGGATGCAAGATTTTGTCCTCATTGATTCTACATGAAGTTTCCATATGTTCTGTGCTCATTGGCCGAATATATCCACCAGTACCCAGTAATAAAACTCCAGCTAATTTTGGCATCCTGAAAAATGAATTGGAATATATAATGAATCTTATAATTTAAAAATAACATTACTTAATCAAAATTTTGGTAATTGAAATAAAACTTAAGAATTAAAAACTATGTATCAAATGTATTAAACAATAAATTAGTAACAAAACTTAACAGGAATACTATTTATAAATTGAAAGTTTCTCTAGATTACAAAAATCTCTAGTGAAATTTGGTCTATTTTACCATTCAGCCATCAGCCGTCAACTAGTAAGCATCTCCTTTGTACCTTTTCTGGTTCAACTGGTCTTTAACTCAGTAATTTACACCAAATTCAATTTGTGATTAATAAGTAAAGTCCAGAATTCTATGCCGTAAAACCCCAGAAATTTTGTAAATGTGATATGCAATACAAATCTATCAAATATACAGTACGAAAATTTTCAAACATACAATACTACAGCTAAAATATTGAATTATGTTTCTGTGCCTACATTAAATTCTGAATTAAAAAACAAATAAGAGGAAATAAAATAATAAAAATTATTTAATATTTTTTAGAAACCAAAATAATTTAAAAAGGAAAATAAAAATAACAACAATTTTATTAAGTTTAAGGTGAAAATTCTTATTTAAGTATTGAAATAATTTGGGCTGTTTTATTTTATTCACCATATGTTTATTCATTCCACAATTTTTGTTCTCATGGTAACAGTTCGCCTACTACACCATCTTCAAGCCAATGGTTTATTTTATTTTTCACTGCTGCATAATTGGATTACTGTTTTAAAAATTTGTTTTACTATTTCCTGATATTTTATTGTTTGAAATATTTTTGTAATAAGAAAATGATCTTTCTACATTGACAGATATGAAAGACTAAATTTGTAAAATAATCGACTCATTGATTTCAATAGATACTTATTGTGAACAATAGAAGAAAAAACGAACCATTCATTGAGTTTTAAAAACTGTTCATTTTGAACTTTGGAATTGTAAGGATCAATCCAATATTTCAATTTTGAAGAAAATGGTGAACATAATAAAAAAAATATTACAGTTTGTAAAGAAAGTAATAAATTGAAACTGAATGTGGTGTTCGGAACTTTAAAAGGAGATATAAAAATAGAAGGGGAGATGAAAAGACAGGTAACGGAAAAATCCATATGTTCATCGTTTCCCAAGTTCTTACGGCCATGTTTAGATTCAGCTCCCCAAAATTTCACTGTGGTAAATGATGGTGCAGAGTCCCCATACACAGAATTCAACACATCTTTGACTTGCGTAGGCGTATTGCCTTTCAAAAACAAATATTTAATGACAGCTCGATACTCGATATTGTCCATTTTCACAAAAACAATCACATCAACTCACTCTAACGACTGTTACATAAAAACTGCATGTCCAAAATGGTTGAAACTTTGGTGGGTAACTGTCAACAGATGAACAACAAAATTCATCTGCTTTTATTTACGAGTCCTGCCATCTACACGTTGCGGTCGGAAACTTTTCAGACCACCCTTGTATTATAAAAATAGGTTAGTAACCTTGTCAATAAAAGAAAGGTCGAAGTTGCAACAAGTGGTGGTAGGTTTGGTTTTTTTTCTTGTATACGATGTGATACAGATGCGAGATGCAAAATCGCCTTCCCCACCATCACTTTTGAATTTCCCAAAAACTGCTAAACTTTCGCATTTTTTCTTCTTCAGTGCACTTTCTTCCCCATTTTGCCCATGAAAGAGCACGTTTTCAATAAAAAACATTGCATACATTTTTAAACTAGATTAAATTTACTACAATTTGAGATCAAAATAAGCTCGGTAAACTTAATATGTTTGAACTACAGCTTTTCAAAATTTGGCAATTTTTTTTAACTTGAAGATTTTAAGGTATAATAATTTCCATGATTATCATACCCGATTGTCTTTATATTTTCAGTAACCTGTCTGATACGAGTCAGTGAAATAAACATTTATTAAATTTAAAATTTAAATTGAGGGAAGAATAATAGAAAGTAGAGGAGGAGGGAGAGTTCACTCTTCCCAACCAGAGGATTTAAATTGAAATATAAAATTTATTTAACAAACATTTACATCAAATGTATACAAAACAAAGTAACGAAATGTAAATTAAAGGTGTTTCCTTTACATCGAAGGACTAAGACAAAGCAAATTCGCCAATCCACTGCCTTCGGTATCATATTCATCGCCCTGGACTTACTAAAATGGAATGAAAATATTTATTTGTTGAATATCGCAAGATAAAATCTTGCCGAGAAGTCCTAATATAATATTATATTATTGAGGAAGGAGATGATCCGGGGTGGTGGTCATAAAAAGACTAAAATAGTGGAAAAATTATTTTATTGGCTTGTAATAAAATAGTTTTTTCACTATTTTACTATTAGTACTACTATTTTACACTATTTTTATTACTACTACACCGGACCATCTCCTTCCTCAAAAATATACAACGGTTAACCATCAAGTATTTAATGTTATATTATAATATATAAAATACTATTAATTAATGCCATGAATGAGGTGGATTGGTAGATTTGATGCTTCTGGTCATTTGAATCGGAGGAGATACCAATAATTCACATTTCAATTTTGTATACACTCGATTTAAATGTTTGTTAAATAAATTTAATTTCAATTTTGGTCATCTGGTTGCAAATAGTAAACTCTCCATCCTCCTCTAGTTCCACTTCAAAATTTTAAATTGAATAAATGTTTATTTCACTGACTTGTATCAGACATAGAGCTTACGCCTATAAAATGAAGTGCAGATACTGGAAGAGGGCCGTACCTAAGCAGACGAACCCTACTGTAGAGCTTTCAACCACTCATCAGCACACTGGAACCAGATGGGTGGCCGGACTACGATATCGGCATGACACTGGTATTGTACAGTAAGCAGCTGAAAAAACACGACTACTACGACTGCCAGGGCCAAGCACTCATGCAGTCCACCCATAGCGCCAGGGCCCCGGGGACATTACGTAGTACCAATGTGATCAGATAAAAATAAAAATTTTAATGTGACCTCACATCGTGATTGATCACAGGTTCAGTGATCATTCCTAACTGAATGATCGTTATGGCTATTCATAAACACCAATGCACATGCTTACACCTATGCACATGCTTGAACCAATGAGAGTGCTTGTACATCCGTGATCGATGAGGGACGACTTGAACCAAGGCTTTAGTCGAGAACCGTCTCCGAACTGGTATCGGACAGGTTATTTAAGATAAAAAAGATGATTCTTCTTCTTTGTTTATCTCTGATGTGATTCCTAGCGTCAAGGAGCCTCGATCTAACACAACTATGCCTTTCGGTTCCAGCTGAGCTGCCTCAATTCTTGAAGAGTTTTTTCTCTTTTTCTTCCTATCCGCTGCATATACACCTGGTAGGAAATTTCGGGATGGCCTCACGTTCTCCTCCCAGTGTGTCGATCTTCTAATATTTTCTATGGTTCTCTTTCATTATCCATCTGATAAACGTGGTCAAACTACTTCAACTGATGATTTTCAAGCGTGGTCTTTAGCTCCACTACCTCCAGCTCCTCCCTTATCTGTTAAATTCTGCAATGGTCTCTTCTGGTCTTTTCAATGACTGTTCGCAGGAACTTCATCTCAGCATCTGTCATCTGTCTGATCTGCTTGTCCAGCTTTTACATTTGAAAGTCAGGGTTGGTAAGTATTTTATTTTTAATTTATTTGTAAGTCATATTAGAAGAAGAAACAGAACTAACAGTCTCATTAGTCATAATAAACATTTCTTGAACTGTTGAAGAGAAGAATGGTTGGGGTGATCAGTCAAAAAAATAATTAGTAAAAATAAATAATTACTTCTATTTTTATTTTTGCTGACGTTTCGGCCTAAAGTTCAGGCTTTCATTAGGGCTAAGAAAAAGATAACAATAGGTATGAGAAACTATAAAAATTATATAATAAATAATTAAAATTAAAAAGGTAAAAGGTATAGACTAAAAAATGTAGTTAGAATAAACTTAAAGTAAAATAAAGTAGATAGAGTGAACATTAAAGTAAAATAAAGTAGGTAGAATAATAACAGTACAGAGAACTAAGAAATAACGGCAACAAAGTAGGGACTATTGAAATAAATATAACATAAGAAATGAACAATGAATTAACAACGAAAAGTAGTGGGATGAATAAGATAATAAATGTAAGTGTAGAAAAAAAATATAAAAAAATGGGGTGACATAGTTGCTAAAATATTATGTAATAGTATGCTAAAAGAAAGTGGGATAATCATAGAATAAAATATAATACAGATAAAAGAAATATGAAGTTATATAAGGAAATAATAGATATAAATAGAAAATTGAGATATTGTAAAATCTATCAAAACACATTGATTAAGTATAAGAGATTAAAAAGTTAAAATAATGTGAAAAAAGATAAAGAGCAAATGTATCAATATACCCAAAATAGAGGAGATATGGAAAAGAGAGCGAGAGGAAAAATAAAAAGAAGGGAAAACTGAGATAAGAAAGATAAGCAGACCTGGTCAAGCAAAGAGCTGTCACATGACTGTATCATGGTAAGAAAGAGTAGAGCTTACATTGCCCCATATGTAACGGTTAACTGAAATATGAGAAATAAAGCACAGAAACATATATAATGGACGAGAAGTTTATTATAGATAAATTCTATGAGTTATTAAATAAATGTGTAATTGAAAGAGAATGGATGTAAGGTATCTGGAGATAGTATAAAACAGAAATAATAATGGAGTATTACTGAAATAAATGCAAAACGTGAGATTAAAGAAAACAGGAAAGAATTAAAATTAAAGAGGTAGTATAATGTAATATAGTATAAATTAAGGATAATAATATAATTTAGAATAAATTTAGAAGACAGTATAATGTAGAGATAATAAATATTAAGTAATAATGGAGTATAACTGATCTACGTGAAACGTGAGATTAAAGAAAAATGAAAAATAAATTAAGTTAAATGGAAATGAGAAAGTCTTTTATAAAGCAATTAAGA